TCTAGCATTTCCATTTTATTTTCTCTTAGAGTTTCCATTTCTCTGCTGGAACTATCCATCTGCTCTTGTATATTAGTCACCTTTTCCATTAGAGCCTTTAACATAATTACAGTTATTTTAAAATCCCTGAAAGAGGGTTTTAACCTCTGTGTTATATCTGAGTGTGGTTCTGATGTTTTCTTTGTCTCTGGGGCGTGTGTTGCAGTTTTTTTTTTTTCTCCTTTTTTTATGTTTAGTCAAAAGTCTCACATCTTGTGTAGCACAGTAGAGACTGAGGTAACAGGTTTTATGCTTGGAGATGGGTATGCGTTTCCTTCTGCTATGACTTCAGTAAGGGTGTATGAGTTACTATGGGAGGATTTGAACTGGCTTTAAAGTTGGTTGTGTCTATGGCTGGCCTTAGTGCATCACAGGCTTTAATCTCCTCTAACCACCTTGTGTTTAGGGTGCTGAACTTTCTTTCTCCCTCAATGTTGACTCCATCCTCAGCTTTAGGTTCCCTCTCTGTGCTGCTCCTCAGAGAGGGTCCCTTTCCATGCTCTTGTCCCTTTCTTACCTCTTTCTCAACAGTACTCTGCTTTTTACTCGTTGTGTTTAGCTTTTTAGCTAGTGGTAGGGGTTGGTGAGCCTGAGAGAGTTTTCTATTGCTCTGCTTAAGCCTCAGTCTTATCTACCCACATGTCCCTGAGCCGCAGGGGTATGGCCTCTTTAGTGTTCTTGTCTTTTTTCAGGCTGCAGTTCTGGGCCCATTATCGGTTACTCCCTCCTAGAAGAAGCTTAAAACATGTTTTCTTCCCTCATTCAGCTGTAATGGGTCTCCACCAGTGCTGAAGGAGTAGAGTGTTGGTTGCCCCCCTCTCCACAGATGAAGGTTTTTGTTGCACAGGGGAGTAAAGTGAGAAGAGTCTGGGTAGAGCAGGCAGATGCCTGTGTCCCTACCTCAGCAACTGCTCCAGGCATACTGGTATACAAGGGACACTTTCTTAAATATTTCTCTACTTTTTAAAGAGTACTTGATGGGGGTTGAGGAGAAAAGTTCTGGAGAGAATGTAGACTCCATGTGTGCAGCCCTCAAGGGCTCCATACTCTCTCGCCAGTATACACATAGCATTTGTGAATTTACCAACCACCCTAGCTGGAGTCTTCTTACTGGTGACTGGCTGCGTTTACCCAGGTAAGCTCGTGCTCACATCTTGTCTTTCTCTTCAGGAGTCTGTCTTTCCTTGGATTTGGTTAGTTTATTGCCCTGTGACCCCAGAGAAGGAGTTTAAGGAAAACTCGTGAATTTGTCATTTGTCTGGTTTATTTCTTTGTTAGGTGAGGAACAATGCTCTTTCTAGCTCTTACATCCTCAGCAAAACCCAGAAGCCAGGCTCTTCATCTGAACCATTTGAGTTGAATCTACCTCATGCTGGGGGCAGTGACAGTGCTGAAGCTGGGATTCGAAGCTGGGATTCTAATTACAGCATGTTTTTGTCTTCCATTTTTATCTCCTTTCCCCCCTGAATTTGTATTTCATTCATTAAATACTTATTGAGCACCTACTACGTGGCAAGCCCTAAGCTTGATACAGAGATAAATGAGTTAGGGTCTCACAGTAGTTAGTGTGAGAATAACTATGATGGGCTGTCACGGGGTGCCAGAGTCATACCCCCCTATGAAAGTTGGGGAGCTGGGTGCTCAGGCCTACTCAGCAAGCCAGTTTTGGAACCTGCCTCACGCTCATCAGGCCATTTGCTTGGATATCAAATGCCATCGGCCCCGGAGCCCAAGTCTGAAATTAATGATGCCACACATTGGAGATGAAGGTTGCATTATAGATTCCTTTGAAGTTTTCTACCAGTAGATCTGCGGGCCGAGGGAAAGAAACTAACCTTGATCCCCAGAACTGTGAACTCTTCAAGTCAAGTTGCTCTGAAGTGTGTGATGTTTATGTTACATGTATTATTTAATCTGTTGAAAGGATCGATAAAGCCAACTTAAAACTCGTTTTAGTACTAGCCCATGTCACAGTCAAGCCTGGGCTGATTTTTTTTTTTTTTAAATATTAGAGCCTTTGGGTTGAAATCCTCTAAGCTGCCTCATGGAGCCAAAGTAGAAAATACACCGGAACAAGAGTGTATTGGAAAAATCTGTCCAAATCTATGTTTAAAAATACCATAATGATAATAATATCACAACTTTACTTCTTGGGAGCTTCATAGTTTGCAAAGTAGTTTTACTTTCAGAGTTTATTTAGTTTTTTTTTTGATCTGGACAATGGCCCTGAAATAGGATAAAGCCAGCATTATTTCTGTCCGGTTGAGACGTGGCTGGAAGCCCACCAGCGTGCCCCTGAGTCACAGGGCTATCATCCAGCGGGAACAGCTCTCTGGTACACTCACTTTGCTCACGATCTGAGCTGAACCTATTTTTCTCGATCCCTCTGCATGCCTTTTCCCAGCCCATTGTGGGTATTCTCAGGGACCTGACCCTTTCCTACTTCTGATCCCCAAGACTTGACACCTGACCCTGCTCTTCTGCTCTGACCTCTAATTCCCTACCTCATTCAAGTACAACTTGCGTCTGCTCCTTTGATTTGTTTACTTGAAGCTGCTCCCGGGTAATATCTTTCATGTCCAAACAACATTTCCGCAATTACTGGTACTGCCACTAATACTACTTGAAATAATAATAATAATAATAACAATAATAATAATGACAACAGCAGCTACCATTTGAGTGTTTATGATGAGTAAGACATTGAGTTTTCCATGTTTTAGCTCTTTGAAATTTTCAACTCAGACTACTGCTATGAAATAGATATTATTTCTATGCAGATAAGCCACAGAGAACTTCAGGTGAACCCAGTCAGTGTGTTCTGGCTCTGCCAAGTGCTCATGGTGACTTTAGACAGACGACTTACCTAATCTCTCTGTGTCTCAGTCACCCTCTAACAAATGTGGATGTTAATTTCTACCATCTGAGGTTGCTTTGAAAATTAAATGAGAAAGAGCCTGGCACACAGTAGGACCTCAAAAAAATAAATAAATAAAGAGTGAGTTTCTCTTATTATTTTAGGGCTATTATCCTCCACTCCTGGGTAATGGTCTTTAGTGGACACTTCGGGATTCCAAATACGATTTCACAAAAAGTGGCTGTACTAACTTCTCCTTCTTAGTAAAACCTCAACCCTGGCTGCGTATTTCATCGGGGACCAGGGAGGGGGAAATGGGACCCTTTTGGTAGAGTTGTAGGAAATGGTTTTAGATTTCGGGGTTGGTGGAGAGTAACGGTTGCAGTGATGTGTGAGCATTCAGTTTGGGATTAGAGAGTGACCTTGGGAACTAATTGAGTGCATTGCCATGCTCTGACAAAGAAACCCCTGTACTGGCTAAATAATATATAAGAGAGTTCCATCGGGCAATGGGGGAAAATGGAATTATAGAGCGTACTTCCATTTCAATGAGTTAATCAAGATAATTGCTGTTTTCCTGGATCTTTGTCTTTTCTTTATAATTAACAAGGCCCTTGTTTGGAGAAAGGAATTAAGCCAGTGAACTTTGTACAAATCGCTGTGACATTTTTTGGTGCAAATTGTATTTAAAAGTCTATTACATCTCCTTTTCCTTTGGATTCTAGGACTGTGAGGAACTGATGCTTGATCAAGCTTAAGAAAAGTTTACGGTTCAAAGCTTCAGGTTCATTTGGGATTAACAAACAGCAGCGGGACGCAGGGCAGAGCTGAACCAGCAGGAGCCCCGGCAGCAGACAGACGTGGGTTGTGATCCGGTTCCGCCGCGTTCTCACTATGTAACAGTGGACAAACGAGCCTCGCTGAGCCTCGGTTCCAATTTCAGTAAAACGAATTTTCCAGAGCTGTAGTGAGGATTAAATCCTAAACTCCATATTAAGATTAAATCATGTGGTTCCTCGCCCGTATCTGATGCACAAGCAGGCTAGTTCCTTCCCCATCTCCTGCATGCTTCCCTACGGGCCGCATGTTCAGCAGCCCCAGCTGTCTGGAACACGGCTGAGACCCTAAACGATGCTTAAAGTCTAAGGAGAACAGAGACATTACAAAGTCCATTGATTACAATAGCTCTCAGAGGAACATCTCAGGTGTCTTTGATTTGGAACAGGATTGGAATAAACTGAACTCTGGTTCTCTGACCACACCACTGAGGAAGCCCTATCCTGGATGAAGAGAGGGGAAGTAGCTCACTTCCCCTCTCTACTTTAGGGGGGCCCTGCTACAGAAACAAATAGTGACTCAACAGCACCACACGGAGGGAGGAAGCAGTAAAACTATACCGATGAGACAGGAGCTAAGAAAAGAAAGTGTAGAACCATTTTGGGCAGGGGCGAAGGGTTCTGCAGGCTTACTGCCTTGCTCTCTCTTCGTATTACAGCACACTACGTAATTGTGGGTGTTCCTTATTAACGACCTGGACTCATAAAAAGAAAGATTTCATTATGTCTGTATAGTGCATTTGAGAAGGGAGACATGTAAAGTACTTCATAAATTCCATCCAAAATGGTCAAAGTAAAAAAAAAAAAAAAATCTAACTGGAGATGTGAGCTTGGATTATTGGCCAATTCATCCACATGGAATTGTTCCTCTCCCCGTTGCTATATTTCTGGACAATGGTCACATGAAGATGCTAGCACTCTGTCAAGTACTTTTCATCTACATCACCTCCTTGTGGTATTTGGGAAGGTATTCATTGTTTCCATTTTACAGATGTGGAAACTGAGGTCTTGAGAGATTAAGTCCTTGGGAAAGCTGGGATTCAAGCCCAGCTCCTATGACTCCAAAGCGCATGCCTTTTCCATTACACCATGTTCCTTCCTAAGAGCAATCATCTTGAATATGAACATGCAGAACATATTACAGGTAATGGTTTGCAACCCAAATCCTGAACTAAACTGAAATACCAAAAATTAACACACCATCGAGTTCACCTCTAATCCTACATCTCACAAAACAAAACCATGAAGTGGCCTTGCCTGATACTTACTCATAAAATGTTGTCCATCCATTTTCATTGCTTTTCGTTGCCAGAAGGCCGGAGTTCCCATGGTATGTCATCATGGCCAACTCATGTCCTTGTGTAGTCACACTTCTGAGTGCACTGTTGGTGCCCATGGTGACCCAGTACACCTGGCCATCTGGGACCACCAGCCAGAGGGGCATCCCAGTAGAGTCTCGGCGGACGTTCACCATGTTGCCATTGTTGTCTGTGATGAGTGTGATGTCACCATCCCCAGTGTAGGTGAAGTTGTATAGGTAATCCCCTGTGGGCAGACTCTGCGTGTACAGGTGTTTGCCACTGGTATCAAACAGGTAGAGCTCCTGGTCGATGGGTGAGGACAGCTCATACATGTTCTGGTTGTTGAGGAAAGGTTTGTTCTTCCTGATAAACCGAATTCGGATATTCCCGAGGTCGGCCACATAGAGCTCCCCGTCAGCACATACGGCCAGGGAGGATGGGGTATTCAGCTTTGCATCCTTGGCATAACCGTCATCTCCAGAGAAACAATCACAGTTGGCATCATTTTTACAGTCACAGCCACTGGGGGCCCCGGCAACTAGCGAGATCTCTCCGCCAGTGGTGACCTGCCTGATTCGGTTGATCTTCTTCTCATCGGTCTCAGCGATATACAGGACTCCGTTGTGAGAGACAGCCAAGGCGGTGGCGGACTCCAGGGTGGCATGGATGGCCACCCTGCTCAGCAGGAAGTGGTCGATGCCGGGCACCTGGCAGTGCATGGGCCTCCCCGCGACAATGCGCACCTGGTGGTTTTCGGAGATCTGCAGGACCACGTTGTTGTCGAGGACATAGAGGGAGTTGTCCATCGGGTTGATGGCTAAGTCTGTGGGCCACTCCAAGCGAACCTGACAATGGAGACACCAACACTCAAATGCCTGGCAAGGTGCCCACCAGTAATCGTCCCACCCCCCATACAGTCCGCGACAGTGTCCGAGCGCCTTCACGGGAGTCCTGCCTGATCCTCACAGCAGCCCGTCATCCACAACAGGCATCAGGCGCCCGATCAGAGTGAAATCGTGCAAGACCTGCCACGGAGACATCTGGAGGTCTCCATTACATCGACAAAACATGAAGAACAAATAGAAAACAAGCAAAGAAACAAAAACATAGACAAGAGACAAACTTTGGAGCCAGACGGGCCTGGGCTCACACCCCTGCCTCACTAGTCAGGACCTTGGGCAGGTTCCTTTGCCTCCCTGAGTCTCAGTATTCACATCTGTAAAACAGGAATGACCATACTGCGGAGTGCCTGACCCACAGGAAGCGCTCAGATGATGCTATGGGGGGGGGGGGGGGAGGCAGAGGGAGTCTAGAGACTAAAATAGGTGTTGCCCAGGGGCTTAAGAGAAACTCTTCATGAACTGTTGATATGAGTTTTGTATGACAGATGACTCCTCAGTTCTTGAGTTCATGGATTAACACATGGCTAGGTGCTGGGGATGTAAAGACAGAATAACCATGGCCCCTCTCTGACACAGTTTCAGACCAGTGATTCTCAAATTTGGCCACACATTCAAATTACCTGCAGTGATTTTATTTATTTTTTAATATGTTTTTATTGATTTTTTTTTTAGAGAGAGAGGAAGGGAGAGAGAAACAGAAACATGAATGTGAGAGAGAAACCTCTATCGGCTGCCTCTTGCACGCCCCCCACTGGGGATCCAGTTGCAACCCCAGCATGTGCCCTGAGCAGGAATTGAACTGGGACCTCTCAGTCCATGGGACGATGCTCAATCCACTGAGCCACACTGGCCAAGCAAACTGCAATGATTTTAGAAAGTATTAGTGCTCAAATCCCATCCCTGGTCAATTAAATCAGATCCCTGCTTGTGGGGCTCAGGCCCTGGCATGATGTCAACAGCTTCCTGGGTGATTCTAACGTGGGGCTGAAATGACAACCAGATCCTGTCTCCGCACTGACATCACCGGGGAGCTAGTCAGCCATGCAGAAGAGCAGGTCTCACCTACCGAACCAGAATCTGCATTCACACAACATCCCTGCAGAATGTGAAGCTCTGCTCTAGATAATGGTGTCTGGTACATGGAAGACAGGTGCTCCTGGCAGGGATTAATGGAGCCAGCCATGGGAGGAGGGGTTCAGAGGTCCTGGCCCCTCGTCTGAGCCTCCTCCGAGCCAGGCTGGGAAGCCGGCGGGACCACGGTGAGTCTGCACGTGGGCCTGCAGGGTGAGGCGGGAGAGCCCTGTCGAGTGGATGCAGGCTGGACTGCTGGGTATGTCGCACTGGGAGGAGCTGGCACTCAGAGAAGCTCTTGCCAACTGTGTCTCCGAGAGGCCCGGCCATGCCACACGTGAGCTGCAGGTGCTGACAGGTGCTGCCACCTGATGTGTTCATGTGACCCCTAGGGACTCATCACCTGGGTCCCCTGTGAGCTGCTGGCATGCGGTCTGATTTGAGCTTATTTAAACAGTGTACACCTTCAGATGAGACATTTCTTTCCAGGAGTCCGATCATGTACACCATCGTCTACAAGGGCGTTTTCCACAGCCATTTTAAATGATGGTGGAAACTGGAACCGACCCAAATGCCGAGGACAGAGAACTGGCAAAATAAATTTAGTTCACGCATAAGTTGGAATATTCCGTGTAGCCTTTACAAATGACGTTATAGCTGAGTATTTAACAACATCAGAAGCTGTTTGCCATGTATTGTGCAGGAAGAACAGGTTACCGATGGTAAGTACAGCGTGACCCCAGTTGAGATCAATAAATTAGATGGATATGGATAGAGAGGAGATTAAAAACTGGAGGGATAGACACCGAGATGTTAAGCATATTGGGATTAGAGGTAATCTTAACTTTCTTCTGTGTCATTTTTAACATTTTATATTTCCTACAATGTACACGTGGCATGAATGAATGTACAAAGAACCCCCAGTAAATTACGTACACAGGAGACGCGGCCCCCTTCACCTGCCCCTTTAGCTCGGCGGCCCATCCTCAGGACGGAGCAGCCCTTCCTCATTTCCTCCCCGTGCGATCCTCAGGCCCTGCTTCCCAGGCTCCTTGTGTCCTCACAGAACTGGGAGCCTGAGGCCAGGCAGCCGGCCAGCCGCTCCGCCACACTCCCCAGCCCTCCGAGCACGGTGGCTCAGCTGCATCAGGGGCACAGTTTACTCTAAAGTGACAGGGGAATCTTCCATTTCCTAAAACCCTTTTCTTGTCAACACTTGCTGCTAAATATTTGATGCCCTCTGGTCCGGTGGCACCTTGGGGACCTGCTTGCCCAGACCTTTCTGCCTGTCATGATGATGAAGAGATGGCTCCCTGATGAGTGGGATGAGGGGGAAGAGGGCACCGGGGGCAGAGCGGGAGGAGGGGGGAAGGGAAGGAAGGGGAGCGCTGTGCCCCCAGTGCACGAGGCACCTGGGAGGGAACGAGCAGTGTGCTCTTGGAGACGGCCCTGGCTGCCCCAGTGCCCACCTGATGTTCTAGACCAGACCCAGTACCACGCTCGTCTGGGCTCACCTCCCTATTAGTGACGACCGTGCTGCGGTTAATGTCCCAGCACCCACACGGAGGGAGGAGCCTCCATTCTCGGGGTCCCTCCTGCTTCCACATTCTAAGGTGCCGGGGGGCTCGGAGCCCCTCTCCTGTCCTGAGCACGCCGTGTCTTTATAAAAACACTGAGCTGACTGCCTTGCTGCAGTTTATTTGCTTCAAAAAATGGATTGTCAAATGAAGGAACAAATAAACGACTGAGTGGCATAGAGAGAGGGAGGCATTTGGGGCCCGGACACCTCACTTCCTATCTCAGCTCCACAGTTACTTCAGGGGTGACTTACCCAAGTCACTGGAACACTTTGAACTGCTTTCCCCATACGTAAGTGCAGGTAATAAATATTACATAAAGTAATGGTGAGAATCAAACAAGACCGTGTACAAGGCAGTTCTTTGCAAATTATAAAGAGACTGAATATTTACAGCCGATTGCTAGCTGGCAGGCGCTATGCTAGAAAACTGATGTACACGATTTGATAAAAAAAAATAAAAAATTCATGTCCACATCCCTGGTGGAGCGCAGCACAGGGCTCTGCATTTATCATGGCCTTTCTGTCACCAAGCCTCAGGTCCTGATCCATAAAATGGGACAGATACTATCTAAGAGAAGTGAAGTAGCACTTACCTCTGTGTCTCCATTTCTAGCTGTGCCTGGCACATACTAAGTTCTTAGGAAATCATTTTGGACCCTAAGTACAGAGTTATCCTCTGTGTCTGTGGTGGCCACTGCCTGCTGAGCTGACCACTAGTCTCTTGTTTTGAGCAGGTGTCATCTCTTCCTTCTATACTCTTTGCCGGCCTCTAGTTCCTCCCAGGGCTGGTCTTTGGCTTCCCCCAGAGGAGCTGGTCTGAGGGCCTTGGTTCTGCCCTTTGCATTCCTGCCTCTGAGCTGGGTTCCTAGCTCTCTGGCTTCCCTCTCTACTCCATGGCTGGTAAAATAGCTGGGTGTTTGTTCTGAGAATGAAGCCAATACCCCTGCCCATATGTGTATATAAAAATAGATGCCTGCCTCTGGAGAGCGTGGTAGAAAGAATGCCGCCCTTGGATTCCACGCTTAGACCAGAGTAGTGAGGAACAGGGACACAGAGATTTCTTGTCCAGAATTTCTGAATCAAAGTGTGGGTCCCCCCCCCCCCCCCCGTTATATACTAGTTGTCTTCCAAGCCTTGGGTCTGGCTGCTTGGCAGTACCTCAATCTCAAGTTCAACAATTTTCCAAAGTGTGCATTGACATTTTTTTGGCCTCTGGTGCTGGCTGGTGGAGGGCCCGTTTTGAGACTTGAAAATACGGGTACACCCATCCTCAGGCCGAGGCAGCTTCCCCACTGGGTGATTCGAGCCCCCCACAGGCCGGAGAGGGAAACTTCCCCCAGCCAGGGGAGGCTGCCAAACCGGAAAGACAGTGGCAGAGAACAGACTCCATTCTGGAGCGTAACAGTCACATGCTGGTGCAGAAGGGAATCGTGCCAGCATGTGACATGGGTGCGGACCGCTGGCCACGGCTCCGGGGCTCTGGGAATGGTCTCCGGGACACGACAGCAGCAGAGGCGGCCCTGAGCCGGAGGCCTCCCAGCCTCGGCTGCCTGCTGGGCGCCAGGGAGCGGCTCCCGTGGAAAAGGGCGTGTGTGCAGGCTCCCCTAGAAGTGAGGGGGCTGAGAAAGCTAAGCGTGGCTATGGCTGACACCAGTTTGCAATTTTTCTTTAATCTTTTTTATCCTCACTCGAGGACATTTTTCCATTTTTGTTGTTGTTGTTCAGATAGAATGGGAGGGAGAGAGAGAGAAACATCGACATGAAAGGGACACATGGAGTAGCTGCCACCCGCACGACCCAACCGGGGCCGGGGACAAACTGCAACCGAGATACGTGCCCTTAGTGGGAACCAAACCTGGATCCGTCTGGACCACAGGCTGATGTTCTAACTGCTGAGCCAAACTGGCCAGGGCGACACCAGTCTGCAATTTAATGTAACTCCAGCCCCCTGTTTCCTTGGTTTTGCTAATGTCGGGAAGATGGACATTCAGTAGTTTAGCACTGGCCAGACCCTGCAAAGGATCTAGTGATAAAGGACACCTCCCTGACCAAGTCACTGCAGGACATGCTACAGATGTGCTGAAGGCCAGTCACTGTGTCTTCCTCTGGTCTACACTAGGTGCCCACCTGCTAAGGTCCAAATTCTTTGGTGTGGTAGGTCCTCACCAACGGACCCTAAATCATGCTTCCAGTCTCAACTCCTGCTACTATTTCCTAACAAGAACCCCACGCGCGGGCATGCAATTTCCCCATGTTCTCTGAACGGACCAGACCCGTGAACATCTTTGTATCTTCGCACATGCTGTTCCCTTAGTGTGAAATGTCTCCGTTCCTCCTCGCCACCCAGCAACCCCCTCTTCACCCGTCGAAACCTGGCACAAAGGTCACCTCCTCTGAGAAAGTGGGCACAGAAGCTTCTGCTGATTGGCTGTCTCTGAAGCGCCAAGCAGCGCAGGAGCCTGGCGGGCCTTGCTTTGTGTGTTCCGAACACAACCCTGCCAGGCCGACGTCGATCACTTCCACTTCACAGATGTGAAAACGAGGCTCGAAGGACCTCAGAAACTTGTCTGAAGTTACTCAGCGAGTGAGTGGCAAAGTCAGGATTCAACCAGTCAGTCAATCAACTAATAAATCACCAGATATGGACTGTGCTCCTGCTGTGTCCCGGGCACCCCGGTTATAGCAGAGGAGAAGATGGACAGACGTCCTATCCTCCTGCAGCTTCCAGCCCAGAAAGAAAACAAATGACGCACACGTAGTTGTGCTCTCAGACAGAGACGCAGGGTGGCCATGGATTTAAATGCACACTGTGTGAATCTCTGCCGCCGCTGAGGTTCCTGGGACAGCTTCCCTTGTCACCCACTGTCGCCCACGATGGGGAACTCCCAGAGCACGAAGCTGTGCCCACTCGTCTCAGGGCCTGAGTGTCCTGCACAGACCCGGCACAAGAGTAGGCTCTTAAAAGGTGCGGTGTGAGGACCACCGGCCAGTGGCTGCCTGGGTGCCCGGTGGGAGGAGGAGCGTGCAGACCCAGGGCCCTGGCAGGCAGAGCTGTCTCCTTACCTGGGAAATATCCATGACAGAATCACAGCTGAGGGGCCGGGCCGAGGTAAGGTCATTGGAGCCCAGGAGGGTGGAGATGACCCCATTCTGATCGATGCGCCTGATCATGGTGCCGTCCACGAAGTAAATCAGCCCGGACTTGTCCACTGTGATGCCTGGGCAGAGAACTCAGGGTTAGAGGTGGTGACAACCCACATTCTCATGGAGCCTTTCGGACTGACAGAGAACCTCCTGTCCACGATTTGATTAGATTTTCTGTACGTCAATCATTCCCCTTCTAAAGATGAGACAGATGCCAGAGGTGTCTGAGTACTTGTTTAGAGTAGGGATTAAAACCCAGGTCTTGAGACTCTCCGGGGCTCTGGTCTGTCCACCTTCTGCCTCTGAGGATTGTTGTCTATCACCCGATCTGAACGCAAAAACTGGACTCATCACTTCTGGGGGCTTGTTAAGCACAAGAGGTAGCGGTAAAGAGGATTTTTTCCGATATCAGAACTGTGAATTAGTCAAATTAACCTACTTCTGAAGACTTGTAATTATACTAATCTAGTCTCCTATCTGGTAATGATTTTTCTGTTCCTCCAAAATAACCATCCTTCGTGTTTTTCTATTTTATCACTCTTCCAGTTTCATTGGTCATTCCAGAAGTCTAGAGCCCAGAAAAAGAATCCTTTGGGTTTGTGTAGAGAATGCTGGTGAAGTTAATTTTAAAAAATGGCACATTGAGGAAAGGAGTCAAAATTATGACTAAAAATCATCTGCTCCATTCATGAGACTGCCACCCGCTGACTTTGTGTGACCTTGGGCTGGTCCCTGGACGGTCTGCATTTGCTTCTCAGCTGTTACGTGAAGGGACTTTTCTAAATCGGCATTTCTCACCCTTGGATGTGTGTGCGAGTCACCAGGAAGCTTGCTGAAACGCACCCCAGGCAGCTGTTCGGAGCGTCTCGGAGGGGCCTGAGCATCTCTTGTTTTTCTGACAAGCACTTCGGGTGATGATGATACAAATCAAAGTTTGAGAACCTCTCTAGTAAATCAGTACTTCTTAACCAGTGACGTGCAGCAGAATTACCTGAAGAGTTTGTTCAACGTGTCCCTACTTAACCGCACTCTTGGAAATACTCGTTCAGGGGGGCGAGGAACAAGGCTTGTTTCAGAAACGCTCATGGGTGATACTGACTCCCCCTCAGCTCCAGAACCCTAGGAGTTGACACACCCCTACCACATGGAGGACTGCTCAGGGGCGCAGGGGCTGGACCACAGATGAGAAGTGCCCCCAAACCAGGTCTAGATGGAGTGAGTCATGCCACGGGGGTGCCCCTAGGGGATGACAGAAGCCCGAGAGGGTTCATGATGAAATAAAGGAGGTTCTGATCAGTTTTGTTTTGTTCAGTTTTCTCTGGGGAAGGAAGTGAAGAAAAAGCCTCAGAGGTAGAGACACTTAAGTATGAAGCTTTCCAGTGGTATAACCTTGGGCGAGTCACTTCACTTCCAAGTCTCAGTTTCCTTATCAATAAAACGGGGACAGCCCGGCCGGTATGGCTCAGTGGCTCAGCATCGACCCATGCACCAAGAGGTTGCCAGTTCGATTCCCGGTCAGGGCACATGCCCAGGTTGTGGGCCTGATCCCCAGTGGGGGGCGTGCAGGAGGCGGCCAATCGATGTTCTCTCTCATCGACATTTCTCTCTCTCTCTCTCCCTCTCCCTTCTTCTCTCTAAAATCAATAAAGAAAAAAAAAACTAAAAGCATAAATAAATAAAATGAAGATAATAACATCTGACTTGTAATAGCCCTCAAGAATTATTAGTGACTTTCAATGATGAGAACGTGACCAGCACTCTGTGCGTTTCAAGACCCTTGCTCTCGGGGCCCACGTGTCTATGACAGGTCAAAGGGCTGTTTCAGACAGCAAGGGCCTCTGAGAGACCCAAACCCAGTGGGGCTACTAGGAGTTCTTCCCCCTCCTTAGGCTGCTCAGGGCTGGAGAGCGAGCGATGTCACAGAGGACCGGCAGCCTCAGGGCAGGACGCCTCTCTCTGGTCCCTGCCTAGAATGCAGATGAGTGGCATTCGTCAAGTACCTGGACAGGACTTCTCTCGCCTGCCTGGCTGTGCTGCCGCTCTCTCCCGTCTGTGACTGGCGGGTGCTCCGTGAACAACTGGGTTCCTTGTTTACAAAGTTGGCTGCACAGGCTAATAGAAGTAATCTGTCCTCTAATTAATTACTTCATTTTTTTTCTCCTTTCGTTGTGCTAAATAGATGAACATCTCTTGTTCTCCCTGCTCCAAAGTGTCAGCATATTGTGGCACCTTTGTCGTTCCTATCTGGGTTAATTGCAGGCTTCGGGGCAATTTCACTGTGTGTGTATGTGTGTGTGTGTGTGTGTGTGTGTGTGTAGGGTAGAGAACACATGTGTGTAGACCAGTGATTTTCAACCACTGTGCTGCAAGGATGTTTAAAACATGCAATACCTGACTGTTTAGTCAGGGGCAATGACCTCTTTTCCCTTAGACTGTCAAATGAAAAAATGATGACAGCCAACACAACAGTAGCCATTTGTCCGGTGTAAATGGATAAAAATTATACCTATTTTTTTTTGTCAGATCAGCAAAAAGCATAATCCATTTTTTGGTGTGCCGCGGAATTCTGATAATTAGTTTGTGTGCCATGAGATGAAACAGGTTGAAAATCACTGGTGCAGAGCAACTGAGAAAGACCTGGAGAGAGTAAAAATTCTCAGGAAAAAACAGTTTTAATTCATAGAGTAGAATGTTACAACTGAAAGGGGTCTCAGGGATTACTTAGCCCAGTCTGCTCATTCACCGATGAGGACACTGAGGCCCAGAGGAGGAGGTCACAGAGCCAGGGAGTGGCGGAGCAAAACCATAATGCAGGGTCCCTAGGTGCAAGCTCTCTCCTCTCTCAGCATTAGGACAGCGTATTTAGGAGGAAGGTTAACCACAGATGTCACAATATTCATCTCACAGTTACCACCTGACCACTGCAGTATGCGGTACAGACACAGGATATTATATAACATGATATATGATGTGATGTGATGTGATCCAACAATACCATATAGTATAAAAATAATAATAGGAATCACCATTGATGGGATGTTTATTATGTGACTGGTACCACTGTACTAAGCATTTACATTCCTGATTATATTTATTGTGTACTGCAACTGTACAGTATATCTCTTTCATAGATGAGGAAAATGAGGCTCAGAGGGGGTAAGCAACTCACCCAAAGTCATACAGCTAGAAGGCGGCAGTGGCTGAATTTGAATACAGGATTGCCTGATTTCACTAGCACCTAATAGCTTTGGTTTGAAATCAGGCCCTGAAATCTGGCACTATTTAGTAATACAATTACTTGTGGCATTTTAATAGGTTATGACATAAAATATACTAATTTTGACTCTAAGAATGATCCTAGGAGTTGGACACAGAAGGTATTATTATTTTTCTTTCTTTGTTTTATATATATATATATATATATATGTTTTTATTGATTTTTTTTTAGAGAGAGAGAGGAAGGGGGAGAGAGAGAGAGACAGAAACGTCGATGGGCTGCCTCCTGCACGCCCCCTCCTGGGGATGGAGCCCCAAACCCAGGCATGCGCCCTGACCGGGAATGAATTGGTGACCTCAAGGTACATGGGAGGACACCCAACCAACTGAGCCACACTGGCTGGGCAACACACAAGGTATTGTTACCCCTGTTTTATCGATGAGGACCCTGAGGCTTAGACACTGTAGGTCACTGGCTTTAAGGTGACTGATGGACAGTTGTTGTTAATGACGGCTTCTCCTCCAAAAAGCCTCTCAGTCAGTCTTCTAGGCACAAGGCCCCCTGGCTTCAGGCTCCCAGGCACAGTTCTTTCTCCTTGCACCTCAGGGAGCACTTCTCCCCCCTCCCCTATCGGCGTGACTCACATTCAAGTCTCCTTTTTTCTGTGATAGTAATCTTATCTGTGCACCTACAGTGCACTGCATACTCGGTAAATAACTGACCAATAAGTGAATGAAGAGTCGTGATGGTGGGTATGAAGAGGCCCAACTTTTTGCAGGACTCAAATTGAAACTATAGCACATGACATGTATGGAGACGATACACAGCAAGACTTTATAAAATAATAATGTGAGAGACAGCATAAATATCCAACAGTAGGGGACGGATAAATCAGTGATGAGTCGTCCGTTTCATGGAACACCGTGTAGCCATTAAAAATCGGGACAAAGAATAATGACATGGAGACATGGTCATGATTTATCAGTTACGAAAAAAGTAGGTCGCTAAAAGTTTATTTAATGCGATCTCACTTTATTTTTGATATTATGTGCACCCCCACGCTTAGAGAAAAGGCTAGGAGGAGAGATAGGAAATATTAACTGAGCATATTTCTGGCAGGTAGAATTATGATAATTTCAACTTTTCTCCATAGAGTTCATCATATTTTCCAAAATGTTCACAATCGTGAACATGTATTTCTTTTGGAAATGGAAAACACCCCAATAAACGTTACTGAAAGTGAGTGAAAAAAGCAGCCTTACCCCTGGGGTTGGTAAGCGTGGCTTCTGTGGCCTTCCCACCATCCCCGCAGCGCGTGTCATCGAAGGGGAGGCACTGGTCCCCTGTCCCCGCAACCACCTCGGAGTTCTTGACAAGGTCCTTCACCACCGTGGTGGACTTGATCCTAAAGACCCGTCGGCTGTTGGTGTCGGACAGGAAGACGGCCCCGCTCATGGGGTCTGTAGTCAGGTAGTATTTATGCGCTGGACTGTGACTGAAAAACAAGGACATGCCAGTGGATGAACACGGTCTTCTTACCCAGTTGGTAGCCAGAGAGGTACAACTTAAATCCAAGCACAAATGTCTCATGTGGATGATATCCCCATTTTGGGTGAGAGCTCCCCAATTTTTCTGACTCCAGTGGTTGGTCTAACTCTCCCTCCCACCCAACTCTGAATGCCAATGACTGCCGTGCCCAGCTCTCTGCATGCCCAGCTCTGTGCCATGCCCCTGTCAGATGCCCAACATATGTTTTCCCAAAAGGGTCATCCAAGAGGCTTACCATAGGTGGCCTGTAAATCTGAGCCAGAAACACGAAAGGGCTTGACTTTAAAAACACTTAACGAGTTTGACATACAAACTCTTCTCCCACAGAATTTTTACAGCAGCCCTAACACTTCTTGGCACTGACTGACGAGACCCTGGCCGATCTGATCCCAGCCAGCGTCAAGGGGTCTTCATTTGACCCTCATGCTATACTCATCAGGAGCCCAGGGGTCTCCCTCTTGTAGTCAGATGTAAATGAATTGCAGCCTTAGTTTGTAGTTTGCAGTGATGTCCTGTGTTTTGTCCTGAACAAAGCACAGGATGTTGCTGAGGATGGTTCCGCTTCTGGAGACCAGTCGGAAAGACAAGGCCGTGTGAACAGCAAAGTGAAGTCAGCCCGCCCGCTGTTGCACACAGGTGACACAGGGACAAGGCCCCGCCTGGGGCGCATGGCAGGAAAAATGCACAGCCTGGAATCAGATCAGTCTGGGTTCGAAGCCTAGCTCTGTTGTTTCCAGGTTCTGAAACTTGAGCAAATTACCTGGCCTCCTGAGCCTCAGGTTTTCTTCACCCGCAGAAAGGGGATGTAAACAGCTACCTTGCCCGTGTATTGTGGAAATTACATAAAATCACATGTGACAAATCTTTAGCATCATGCCTGGCACCTCGTAGGTGCTCAGTAATCATAATTGTTGTTTGAATGACTAGTCATTATGTCTGTTATTGCACTTGGAGAGAACTACAGAGTGGGTATCTCTCATTAAACTTGAATTTTGCTATCACACGATACTGATTTACAATTTTTTCCAAGTCTAGGCCACAGTGGAGTTGGACTCATAACTCCTGGGAAGCTGTTTTCGGTTCCTGGGCATGGGCAGGTAATTCCCAGGCCCTCAGACTGCATCTCAACACTAACGGTGCCCTCCAGGTCTCTGGGAAGGCGTCTGACTAGAAGGAACCTGCCTGTTCCGGCCGGATGGCCTGGCACTGGCCGTTGCCACGGGACAGTGGGACACACCGTGCTGGGGGACTGGGGTCAGACTGAGCAGTGCCTACAGCACCAGCTTCATGATGCAAGTAAGAGAATCAGAGAAGTCCAGAAAGAAGCTATTTTGCATTGTATCAGGCATGTATGTTTTGGGTCCTTTTGAAACACACATTTGTACAGGCCGGTGTATTTTGAATTACATGTGAAGACCGAGGCACCGTAATCTTTTCGGCATCAAGGTCTCTGAAAGTTTTCATCTGGCCCTGACTGCCCATCGTCATAACCATCCCTTGCTTTGGGCGGTGTCTTTGGGGACTGGCTGCTTCTCACAGAGCCGGGCCTCCAGACCCGGGGTTTTCCTTCATTTTCTCCTCTAATTCGACTACGACAACACGACTGTCTCCAACTGTCCTGCCTCCCTGGCCCCAACAGGGCTGTTCCCATTCCTCCTTCTCGAGTAAAGGGCAGGTTTCTCTGTCTGCAGCCTGGGTTCCCCAGAGGCCATTCTCCCCTGACCCAACCCAAATACCTTCATGTCCCCTCCATGCTCTCCCTTCCAGGACTGCTCAGTTCTCACAGGCCGACTTCAGACTCCCAGCCGAGCAGCGCACAAGGCACTTCTAGCTCCGCTCCGTCTTCCCGGCCTCCTTCCAGCCGCTCCCTCCCAGACGCCCTGGACTGCAGCCACGCCCACAGCTTGTCCGCAGCCTGCCTGCATGCCTCTAGGAGGGCTGTGCTGCTGTGTGGGACGTCCCAGCCCCTGCCCCTGTCAGCCTGTTGAATTGCTACTCACTCTGCAGGGGTCAGCTCAAATGGTACCTTTTCTGCCTGAACCTTCCCCGCCATTCATATCTAGGTTACAGGACACGTAACGTAATGTGGTGGCTATTTATTTATGTGTCTGTCTCCTACATCTGACAGTCAATACTTGAAGAGAAGAGACGGGATTTTATTAATTTTTGTATTTCCAAAATTCAGATTGGTGCCTTCTAGCCCATAGCAGCCACTTGCTTTGTGAACGACATCTCGCCCTGGTCAAGTGGTTCAGTTGGCTGGAGCATAGTTCCCTACACCAAAAGGATGCAGGTTCAATTCCTGGTCAGGGCACATACCTAGGTTATGGGGTTTGATCCCCGACTGGGGCATGAATGGGAGGCTACGGATTGATGTTCCTCTCTCACATCGATGTTTCTCTCTCTCTCTCACCCCCTTCCTCTCTCTCTAGAATTAATAAATATACCCCCAGATCAGGGTAAAAAAAAAAAAAAAGTGGATGACCCTTCCAGTTTTAGTTCATTTAAATGGTATTTTCAATCAAATTACTGAGTTTTCCTTTTAATTCTCTTTTGGGGGGTGGTGTCAACAGGGGAGCTATCCTGTGAAATGTCCCTGTGACTTACCCTAGGATACAACCGATTTAATCTTTCCAGATGCACCAATTCTGACTAAATAAAGTGCAGTGACCTTAGGTCCCACTCTGCAATGCCGGGGCAACCTCGATCTTTCTGCGTTCCCGATCACAGTTGTGCAGAAAGGGTGATTATTTCATGTCTTTGCACATTGCTCATGATAAACTGGTGCTCTCCACCTTGGCAGGAAAACGGGTCCCGGTGGGACTATGACGAGGGCCCCTGTCCACTGAGATTAGCCCCCCGAGCTTCTGGCTCATGTCTTCCTGCACTGCCCAGAGAAGTGCCCCTCGTGTGGTTTCTCAGACTGGGAATTCCAGAAGGGGCTGGCACTGGCAGGGTTGTTCCAGAGTCTATAAAAGCTGTGGCCCCATCTTTTGTGCCCAAGGACACATTTGAGTCTGGCAGTCGCTTCAGTTTAGGGGAACGAGCACTTGCTTTGAACCTATAAGATGTGGGTTCTAGTTTGAGCAAATCACCCAAACTATTCGAGCTGTAGGTCCCTTAGCTGTCTAATGATTACGTCCCTGCTCGGCTTTGCTCACAGGCTTGTCGTTGGGATCACATGAATGGAACATCTCAACAGCCCTTTGCAGTTGGTAGAGCTCTTGCACAGACTCCAGCCCCCTTCTTCCTCATGCCACCTGCGCGGGAGTGGCACCTGGACCTCTGCCGGAGCAGAGCCACGGTCCGCAGAGCACAGCTGCACAGACGGCTGTCACGGTGCAGAAACATCTGCTACCACACCTGGGTGCCTGTTCCGTCTAAGACAGTAAGGGCTTCATTCCTGACGTGAACGAGCCCAAAGCCTACTCTGACCTCTTTCTGGATGGTGAGCCCAGGAGTCTCTTGAGATGAAAGGCAATCTAGCTCCTGCTTCTGAGTGGGAACTCTCCCTGTGCCTGAGAGTAAGGTCTGCCTTGGGCAGAGGAGCATCCTTTGACCACACCTGGTGGCAGCCCTGGCGGAACTTGATTCACTGGTTCTTAGAACCAGTGGGAAGAGCTTGAGTACTACAGCCACATAGACAGGGGTTCCAATACCCCCTCGGGCAAAGCACTTCATTACTCTGAGCCTCTGTTTTCTCATCTGATAAATGGGGAAATGGGGATAATCACATTTTTCAAAGGGTTACTTTGAATAGTGTATAAAGAATATAAATCTCTGAACATGGTACCTGTTCCATTAAAAATAAAAATATCCAATAAATGGCAGCTGGTCACCATGAGACACCTCCAGAATATGTATGTTATTGCATAATGGAAAACCCAAGTATGGCAGACCTAAACCTGTCCAATCTATTTCCTGGGGCAGTTAAGGACCCTCTTAGAGTTAACAGAATATGTATAGCTGGGATTTGTGGAGATGAGCCTCCATGATCCTAGGGAAGAGATCTGGATTCTTATTCCCTGACAGGGTCCATGGAGGAAGATGGCCAAAGGACTGGGGTCCCTGGACGGCACGTGCCCAGTATGGTGGACTGCCATGGAGGCCGAAAGGGCCAAAGGTGGAGAGGAGACTGCCCTGAGGGGCACACCCGCAGGCTGAGGGCACCGGCCTGAGCCAAAGGTCATTCCTGGGAACAGTGGAGACAGTAAGTGCTAATGGGTAAAGTGGACAAGATTTCGGAAGTTCTTTCATCCATTTGCTGACAGTTACTGCTGGGGACATGCGGGCCCAGAGAGAGGAAGAGACTTGTCAGTGTCCAGGGCCAGTTAGAAGCAGAGCGGGGACCCAGGTCCTCTCGCTCTGGCTTGACTTCAGAGAACCGAGGGGCAGAGAAAGAGTCCTTCACTCCCCCCACTTTGGTTCACTTTAGAAGTAGTTTTGAGCACCCGAGAAAAACAATGACTTGAGAGAGGCCGAGAAAGTGGATTTGAAATTATACCACGGATCTATGAAAAGATCACTAACCATCGGAAACAAAAGGCACCCAAACCACCGCTCTCTCAATTACAGATGATGAGATTAAAAACCAAAAAAGCAAGGTGACCAGCCCAAGGTCACATGCGTGCACAGCGAAGCTTCCCAGCCAGGCCCCCTGTACCCCAGCTGCGTCCCAGGCAGTCACATCACTGAGTCAAGGTTTTAATGTTAAATGCTAGGTTTTCAATGAAGATCTTCCTATGAAACGTATTTCTGGGCTTTCTGAAAAACTGAACTTGAGGGCATATATCAATCCGTAGTTCAGTATCATCTAGACCAAGCTCACAGAACATCTGTTTCAGATTTCAGTGCAGGAAAAATATCCCTCCTCTGAGAAGTGAACATATTTTCCCATTTCTGATAATGCGAACCATAAAAATAATTATGTTTCCCTGTTTATTCTGGCTGGCAGGAGGTTCAGAGTCTAACTTGATATATGATCACATATATGTGTTGCCTCCTTTTTTCTTTTGTTTCCAAATTCTATTTAATTTACTTTAATGCCTATGTCTTTGGTTGTTAAGAGGACTGAATTCCTTTTTTGAGAAAGATGGAGACATCATCATCATCATATAATTGTTATGATGATGTTAAAAATAATATATCATTATTATTACCATTTAATAATAATAATAATAATAATAAGCTATTATTATTATTACCATTTCTGGAACTCCTTCTGTGCCTGGCACAATGCTAGATACTTTACGAACATCCTCTGAAACCTTTTAACGACCTCCATGGATTTTTATTAACCTCCAGTTAGAAATTAAGCCCAAAGAAATAAAGTAATTTTTTCAAGGTCACACAAGGTCACTTCAGTTTTGTCATCTGTACATTAGATATATCATGGGTACCTAATTCACAGGGTGGTTTGGGGATGAACAACTGTAATCCATGTAAATCGGTTATCCCTCTCTGCTACACACTAAAAAGCTCTATCTATACATTTAACATATATGATTGTTACATTAATATTATATCTCACTACATAGATATAAATCTCATCACTTTTGGATTTTGGGTCTCTTCTTTCTACCATCCTGACTTTATTTTATCCCAACTTGGCATCACCCTTACTTGCCATTTTGATCTCAGCCCCGTGTGGGTAACTGAGTGTACTCTGCGGCAGTGCAGGCCACAGCCCCCCTGCCCACGGCAACTTTCAAGTCACCCAAACACGTGTGAGGCTGGGGGACTCTGAGGTGACTGTCACCCGGAGTCAGACGAGTACCGCAGTGACGAGCGGCGACGGCAGGCAGACTCTTCTCTCGGTCGGTCTGATGAGGCCCAGTTCTGTCTGCCGCTGTGTCACTGTGAGCCCACATGATGAATCAGCTGTGACAAAATTCCAGTTTGGGGATCGCTCTCTTGGGGTGGTCTGTCGGGTCTGGAAATCCTCCCCTACTCTGTCCTTGCGGGGTCACTTGGCACCCCAGCCATCAGACCCGAGGCACCTGGTATGCCCACAGAAATGCAATCTGAACCCTGTCTTCCTAATCGAGATGTTCCCAAGACTTCCCACTGTGACCGTCAGTCACTCAGCACAGTTAGGATGACGTCCTCCTTTATTCTAAGGATACGCGGACTGTGGTGTTCAAATTACTATGCCAAGGTTACATTTTCCCCTATTACTTCAGTCTGTCATGTCCACAGACTTCCAGAGTAACGGCTGCACTTTGCTGGGGGTGAAAGGAGTCCCCCATTATTAATGCCTTCCCCTCACCGTAACTGATGGCCCCCCATCAGCTCCAGCCACACAGGATTCACCTGCCATTGAGCCACCTGAAACCGACACATGCATCTTACCATACAGCATGCAACCAGGCAGAGCGCAGGCGGGGACTCCCCACTGGTTGGCTTACCTATGTCTGAAATCTTTATTTCTGACAGAAGACAGGAGAGCAGGGAATAGAAGAAAGAATGAGGTGTTAGCAGCAGGGTTAGAAGCATTATTAGCAGCCTGAAAACTTGACAGCAACGGCACTGTACAATACTATAATAAATAAAGACTTAGCAGCTCTGACACTGATCTATTTCACACTGGATATTACTTGTCAGTGAGCTCACTCGTAAGCAGCTGCGCAGCACGGGAGAGGCACGGTTCCACCTGCACCACTGCTGACTTTGGGGAAGAGGGCGAGGAGGACGCACGCTGCTGCTTCCACCAGGGCCGACGGAGGTGGGAACCGCGGGCCCTCACCCCAGCCCCAGCCCCAGCCCCAGAGACATACGTGCTCACTGCTGTGCTATTAAAGGGAGTTATTAAAGCCTGCAGAACCCACCATGATTATCTTCCCAACAGAATGCAGAATTGGACGTATGCTATAATTAGGAGGGAGACAGCAACACAGAGAAACAGGCCTGGGAAAAAAGACTGGAAGGAAAATATGTCAAGATACGACATATATTGATATCTTTATTTTTCTTTCCAAATTTCATTTTCCTCTCCCTTCCTTACCCGCTGTCTTCCATGATCTCCCCAAAATGGTGGGAGGGAGACAGGGAAATTGGGATCTCTTGTTTGAAAGATCGAAATGGGAGGCCCAGAGAGGGTAAGTGTCTGGCCCAAAGTTGTCCAGCTTGTCTGCCAAGGTGGGCTGACCCCCTTGTCTATGGTTCTTTCCATCACGGTACGGGAGGTGGAAAGACAATATGAGCATTTGACCAAAGCAAATACGCTCAAGGGTTCCTTCTTCCTTGACAGAGGCCTCTGCCAATCAAACTCATAAGAGACCAGAAAGGCAGAGAACACTCCATCGATGGCCTGGTTCTCGTTCAGCCTGATCTCTGATCTCCTATGAACCCACAGAATGTGAGCTTCTAATTCTTTTCATGCAAAGCCCCTCTCCTTCATTGTCCCCTTCATTGTGGGGGCAAACACCAACCTCCTGGGGCCGTCATGGCTGCTGGTCAGCCAGCACACCGTCCCCCCTGTCACATGTGTGCTGCAGAATGAGGTTCTTAGCAGGCCCTCACCTCCAGGGAATAACTCAAGGAGGCGTTAAGCCAGAGTGGCCTTCACTGGTGACACCTCTTTGGTGATGGCCTTCTGGGTTTGGGTCCGCCATTCTAGAAGCTGGACCTCTGGCAGGTGTTTAAAATTCCAAGGGCAAGAGTAAGAACTGTCTTGCAGAACTCCTACCCTGGCCATAGTCGGGGCCTCACAGGGCGTTTCCGTCGCCTGTGGCCACGCTGGAGGACGGCGTTCCAGCCCAAGGGCTGTCCTGTCCACCTGGATCCCAGCCCAGGAGAAAGCAGTCGTGAAGACTGTGGTGCAATCTCTCCTCAAAGGGAGAGCAGGGCGCCCCGTCTGTAACGATAGCTTCTTGTGGCCCCAGAACCCACCCTATGACAGTGCTGTTCTAAAGAGATCTGGGTGCGGGAGGCGTGGAGAAAACCCAACACAGCAGACCCTTCCCGGTGCTGTCAGTGTGGCTGTGTTCCGTCACCCGAGGTCGGGACGAGGACACAGAAGGCTGACTCAGCTGCCTCTCCGGCCCCACGGAGGCAGAGACAATGCCTACTTTAGCCTGTGGGCCTTACCTCAGGACTGGGCATCTGAAGAGACCTGCTCCTAACTGTGAGTGGTAAGGGACGGGGTCAAACGTGGTCCCAAGGCCGTGGGGCCTTGGCCATGAGAATTCCTGGAGTCTGAGAGGCGAGTGCTGTCCTGCCCCTTCTCTGGGCTTGGGGGTCACGCCCGCTGGGCCCATAGGAAGGCAGAGACGTCAGCAGGAACCGTGATGGGCAGCACCTTACATACCTCAGCTCCAGGATGTTGGTGGCGTTCCCCGAGGGGAAGATCCTGCGGATGTAGTTGAAATCTCCCACGTAGAGGCTGCCGTCGGAGCCGCACGCCAGGGCCACGGGGGCCAGGAGCTTGTTGCCGTCAGCAAGGCCGTTGCAGCTGGGGCAGGAGATGCTTCTCCGGCGCCCGTTGCCCATGATGCTCCCGATGACGGGGGGCTGCTGAGACACGAACTGGTTCTCCCCATTCCCTTTGTGCAGGATGCCTGCGGCACGGACAGAGAGCCGGGTCACCCACGGAGCAGGAAAAGACTCTCTGCTGTGGCTGGTCACAGTCGCCTTGGCATCGCAAGGAATGCAAGGAATGTCATTTCCAGGCATCTCCCAAGGCTGCCGCACCCCCAGAATGGAACCCTGAGCGGGACATACTGCTCTGCTGATGAGACGCTCACAACTCGGTGAGCTCACAGGGGACAGGCTGGGTGGCTCACCCGAGGCCACAGGGACGACAGTGGGAGCAGTCCTGAGTCCGGGCTCTTAGTCACTCAGCTCCGCGGCCTTGCAGACAGACGCGCACCCCTCCCCCACCTTCCCCAGTCTCCGTGCAGCATGAACTCCTCTTGCGCTTGCCTGTTCTCCTCTCTTGGGGTTGATACCATTTCAAGTATGGGGACTGTGTCTGTCTTTTCCCTTTATATATCCCCAGTGCCCAACCTAGAACCAGGCCAGTAGGTATCAGTGTGAGGGAAATGAACTCTTAGTCTTTTCTCAAAGGTAGACTCTAGAGAAGTGGGTTTTTACCTGATTTTACTACTAACGGGCTGAACGCAGATCTTGCTGGTCCCTTCACTGCTTTAACTGCCCGTGGGCCTCAGTTTCCCCACCAGCAAAATGAAGGGACTGACCGCAATGACCTGTAAGCAGCACCTCACACCCCCGTTTCTCCTTGGGCCCAGATGGCCCTTCAGCTCAGCGATGCTCCCTCTCTCGTATGCCCAGTTCCGGTGCACACATGGTGGGTGGCAGCAGCTTGCAGGTATTCACCCCCTCCCCCCGTCCGTATCTGCAGTGACAGAGCCCCTGTGTTTAGCTGGGCACGGGGCTCTCTGGAACTGACCGCGATCCCCAGCCTGGTGCGCAGCTGCACTCGGCAGGTGATTGAGATGTGGCCAGTGGTGTGTAAGGGGGAGAGGGAGGGCAGCTGCTGGGGTGTGCTCACGATGGAGGGGCCTCGCCCTCAGTCCTTCCTCCTTGCTGGCTGGAAAGTGGGTGTGAAGTTTGGAGCTGAGGTGGTCACCTTGGGCCATGACCTTGGGGACGGGGGCTTGAGTAGAGCCACGACAGGGAAGGACAGACCCTGCCGAATGCTAAACCAGCCCTGGGCGTCGAGCTCCAGGCTTTCAGGGGAGTGAGAAGCAAACGTTTAACATGTTTGCAACTCTGTTATTTTGACTTTTTTTTTGGTCACTCACGGCCACACCTAGTCCTAATTACTACTCACAGGCCCGTGTCTGGACTGCTTGAATTGTCCCATGGGGGCTGTTTATCTGGTCCTGTGCCAGCACCCCAAGCTTTAGACAGAACGGTTTTCCTAAGACAGCTTCAGATGGGGCGTGTGCCTCTTTTTGGTTCTTATTTCAAAGACTGCCTCAGCTATTTACAAATCTCTCTTCTACCCTAAATTTTAGAATTCGTTTGTCCACTTCCCCCCAGAACATGTGGTGGCTTCGACAGGCATTCGTTGCACCCACAGCTTAGGAGATGTCTGACATGTGTCACATTCAGGGGTCTCATCCCAGCCCACGGGGGCTATGGAGGCCCAGGTCTGTGCCACCTGCATGCTTCGAACCCTTAGGGTCTTGGCACTGGTCTCTGGATGAAGTTGAAGGGCTCGGCTGCCCTATCCCCCAGCCTTGGCTTTTGCTCTTCGCTTCATTTCACCCTTTGCTCAAACCATAATGAATCTTCTGTCCAATTACTCTTCTTTCAGGCTCCAGTGCTTTGGCACATACCGTGCCCTCTGCCTGGGCCGCTCTCCCTACTCGAGCTACAGGGCTGATCCTGTCGGCCCTCTGAGACTCGATTCGGAAGCCTCTCCCAGGAGGCACCTCGCTGGACCAAGGAGCTGAGTGCAGCACTCCTCCTCTGTGCCCCCGTGCCCTTGCGCCCTCTGCCATGGCACTGTCCGCGGCACAGCATGCAAACTGCCTGGGCAGGCTGGCCTCTGGCCAGGGTAAATTCTCGAGGTCTTTCTATTCTGCGAGCCTAGCAGCGACAAGCACAGGGCAAGGACCCAGGGACACTGGCTGACTAATCCGTCAGACCGACCGCTCACATACCAGCCTGTGGAAGCTGACGCGTGCGATCTTCATCTGGCGGGGCACGTGAGACAAGGGTCACCGCCCTGGCCCGGCTCTGGGAATTGCATCCATCCACTCACCACTTTGGATGTTGAGGGCGTGATGTTTGTCCAGGCTCCATCCCCCCAGCTTGGAAGCGTCGATCTCATAGCCCTGCAGCACGGCTGTCCTTTTCTCCCACAGGATCAGGTCTGGGCAGGACTCATACTCGTAACCCACGGAAACTGCAAGCAAAAGGCACAGGCGGCCGGGTGAGCAAGCCTCATCTGCGGTGTGCCGCAGGTGAGCAGACCTGCCTGTCTTTTGTGGGACAGGAAAAAGGATCCTATTTCTAAGTGGAACCAGATACAGGTGCAGAACTAACACAGGGGTGCCGAGCCTTAATATCCCTTCTTTGAAGAGCAATCGCACATTATTAGGAAAAGTTAAACAAATGTACTGACTACTTTTTAAAAGGATCCAGGTGAATGGACTCCAGGGAAATAATCTTTAGTATGGAAGATACTTTAGGCACAAAAGTATTTCCGGCAGCCTTATTGGCAACAGTGGACAACTGGAAGAAACCTAGAGGTTCAAAAGGGGCTAGAGGCTGAGCAAACCAAAGTGTATGCACTGGAGGAATATTATGCAGCCACTGGGAATTACGGTTACAATGACCATGCGTGACATAGGGCTGTTGCTGAGTTGAAAAGACCAGTTACATACAGTATCATATCTGTGTTAAGAAAAACCATACGTGAAAAAAAATGAAGTGTTAGCAAGTGGTTGTATTTGCTTAGAAGAACAAGTATGACTTTACTGTTATTTTTGCTCATTTATCCAATTTTTATTAATGAGAATAGTATTACTTTCATAAAGAAAGATCCAGATCATTTATAATGAGTTTATGGAAAGGGGCTCAGGGTACTTTGAAAGCTGGAGGTGGCTTTGAGGTCTCACAGCTTGAAAATCCCCGGGTTTCACAAGCCCTGGCCTCCTCGGCCACTGGGATGCAGGCTCCCCGTGCAGGCTCCCCGTTTGTCAAAAGCCCCATGACTGCCCTACGGAAAGGAACTGGCAGAGCCGGGAATGCTGTTTCTTCCGAGTATCTTTTTGTGCAGATACTCTTTTCCAGTGAACAGTATCCTACTACATGCTCAAGACAGGAATGAACAGTTGGGCAGCCCCTTAACCTTTCTTTTAGGTACCATAAAAGGTTGTTGGCCATCTGTGGCAGGAGGGAGCTATGGCTGGGGAAATGCTGGAGGTCTCGCTGTGCAGACACTTCCCCTGTGACAGGTAGGTGAGCTCGGAGTGTGTCCCTCTCTTCGGAAGAGCCTGTAAGGCTGGGTTGCTTCTGAAGAGCCATAGAGGTAGTTTGGCTTAAAGAAGGGATTGTGGACAGTGAGAGATGGCGTCTTTGCTCCCAGTGTGTCCTTGTGGGGCAGGGTGGGATGTAAAACTACAGGAAGGATCTGGGGGAAATCTAGCTCTGTTCCTTCCTCGCACATCTCTGGGAAGTCACCTCACCATTTTGGGCTCCAGCTTTCTCATGCAGAATTTGGAGACAATTTCTGACCCATAGGGTGGTTGTGAGGATTAACTGAGATACCAGAATTTGGAGACAATTTCTGGCCCATAGGGTGGTTGTGAGGATTAACTGAGATACCAAAGTACAGAGGAGAACATTGCCCAGAGCAGGTGCTCATCAGACATTCTCTTATTTCCTTCCTTTCCCCTCCCTCCCTCCCTCCCTCCCTCCCTCCCTCCCTCCTCCCTCCCTCCCTCCCTCCCTCCCTCCCTCCCTCCCTTCCACAGCATTACTCCTTCTCTGCTTCCTCTTTCTCCTTTACCGAATCTAGAAAGGGAATGAAACTGGAGTCAAGTTCAAGATGAGAATGGACTTCCTGGGCTATTACTACAAGTTAGCAATTTTTTAACCCTTTTCATCTCATGGCACACATGAACTAATTACTAAAATTCTGTGGCACACCCAAAAATATATTTCTTGCCAATCTGACAAAAACAATAGGTATAATTTTGATTCATTCATACTGGACGGCTATTGTTGTGTTGGCTGTTGTCATTTTTTTTATTTGACAATGTAAGGGAAAAGCAGCCAGTGGCCCTGACTAAATAATCAGGTATTGCATGTTTTAAAAATTCTTGTGGCACTCCGGCGGAAAATTGCAGCTCTAAGTGCTTGGAGGATTTGCTCTTCAAGGGTTCGGACTGCTAACAGTCCAGCTCGGAACCAATCCTGCTCTAATTCAGAAGCCGAAATGAGCACAGCCAGTTCCCAGAAGCCTGAGGTCTGCCTGGGGCTGGGACTCTAGGGGAGGCTGGAGTCACCTTCCGCTTCATCGTGAAAAAAGACGCAACAACAGCACAAAAGAGAAAACCTCTGCGACTGGAAACAAGGTAAAGAAGCCAAACAGCCTTGCTGCTGATGGAAGAATCTTACTCCTGTGCTTCAGGAAGACTGGAGAGACCAAGGAGCTTCAGACACCCGCACTTCTAATGGGCCGGTCCGGGCCCGATGGCTGTGGGGACCCCAGCAATGTCCACACGGCTCTATCTTGGTGGCATAAAACCTCTTTTGACCCATCACATACCACCACAGTGTTTCTTCAAGGGCCTTTTTAGTCTTGTAACTCTTTATTATTATTATTATTATTTTTTTATGGTCAAGTTTTCCACGTTCAGGTCTTTGAGTACATTTTGTAGGTCAGAGAGGGTCACTGGAAGATCTTGAGGGCCAACTAAGCCTTGGGTTCTTCTGAGAAGAGGAAAGGAGCAAGAAGGAACATGGGAGGTGGGAAAGGGCCTTGTTCCCCCAAGTCTATCATCTCTCTGAGGATAGTATTGAGTCCTGGGGCTGGGAGACTTACCGAAGGCTTCCGAGAGCCCGAACACCTTCTGGTTGTAGACATCTGTCTTGTCCCAGATGAAATAGTAGGACAGGTCCGGGGCTGCAGCAAACCACTTCCTGAAGAGGCGGCCCTCAACCGCCACCATGAGGTGGACCTTCATGAGGTTGAAGGGGATGGTAGGATGCGTGAGGCTGATTCTCAGGACAGACTTGTAGCCAGGGGTCCGGCTGCTCAGGTAACTCAGCCTCATCTTGGAGCCAGAGATAGTGATTTCTTCTTGCAAAGCCTAGAGAGACAGATCACAGCAAGTGGCGGTCATGGAATCACTGGTGGAGGAAAGATGACCATCGCCCCTTGTACTCTGGGTGTTCAAGAGGCAGAGGAGAAAGCAGGGAGGAAGGAAGGAAGAGGGGAGAGGAAGAACAGGACGTAGAAGGGAGAGAAGAAAGAAGAGTAGGAAGCAGAGTATGACGAGGAGGAAAGGGAAGAGAAGGGAGAGTTGGAGGAGGAAAGAAGAGTCAGAAGGCCTGGTGTCCAAGGTCAGCTCTTGTCCCATATAGCCCTGCCTCACGGAGCCTCAGGTCCTCCTCCATTCAACAGGGATGACGATGCTCAGCTCATTGCATATTGAAAGTAGCATGTATGATAATGTGTGTGAACTACTCATCATGATGTCACCTCTCACTCAGTAGCTGTGTCATTCTAGAAAACTCATGGAACCACTGAATCTCAGTTTCCTCACTGGATTAGTGTGCGGATTGAGTAAGGCCACACATACAAAGTGCCCAGAACATAACAGAGACTCGGGAGGTGTTACTGAGTGGCTGCTGGTGCTGCTGGGGTGGTGGTGCTGGGAGCAGGGGACAGTATGAACACAGACCTTTCCCTCAGGCCAATGTAACCAGCTACCTCTGTAAGGACTGTTTCTCTCTCAAAACTTTCCAAAAGTAAGATCTGTTTCCAATGGCTTTTCCTTCAGGAAAGTAAACAGAGACTAGGAGATGTTGACCAAATAGTTATGCAGGGTTCAGAGCACAGCCTGCCAAAGACCTGTGGCTAATGCCTCCAGCTCGTCCATAAAAAGAGGTCGAATTGGTTGCACACACTTTGCAGGTGCCTGTGCTGTGCCGGGTGAGGGGAGGGATGCAACTGTGTGTGATGGGCTCAGACCCACAGTGTGGAGTTGAAATTAATGCCAGGATTTTCTGGAACATGGCAAAAGCAGAGAACTTTTATCGGCTTGATGCTCTGGGCTCTGTTTCAACAAGGGGACACTAAATCAATGGAGGCTAACATAGCCATTAAGAGGACAGTGATTATCCTCCTCCTGTGTTCACAGAGGAACTGGCCTTTCCGTGCTTGTCATATATGGGCGTGAACTCCCATCCCACCCCATTCTCCCGACTTCACAAAATTTTAGGGATTAGGCCTAAACCAAAGCACTCGTCCTAAATTTCAGCTTGTAAGTTCCAGGCAAAGCAGGCTCTAAACCGCAGTGACTCACAGACAGGCTCCAAGGGCCATCCTGATGCTCTCAAAAATATTTACTTTCTTAAAAAAAATTATTTTCCTTCATTGATTTTAGAGAGTGAGGAAGGGAGAGAGAGAGAGAGATAGAAACATCGATAAGCCCTGGTCAGTTTGGCTCAGCAGTTAGAGCATCGGCCTGCGGTCCAGAGAGTCCCAGGTTTGGTTCCCGCTAGGGGCATGTACCTTGGTTGCAGTTGGTCCCCGGCCCCGGTTGGGGTTGTGTGGGTGACAATCAGTCGATGTGTCTCTCTCACATCGATGTTTCTCTCTCTCTTCCCCCCTCTCTACCTCCTGCTTTACCTGAAGATAAATGCAAAAAATGTCCTCAGGTGAGGATAAAAAAAAAGAAACATCATGAAAGAGAGCATTGATTGGCTGTCTCCTGCATACCCCCACTGGGGATTGGGCACACAATCTGGGTATGTGCCCTGATCGGGAATCGAACCTGCGACCTCTTGGAGCATGGGTCGACACTCAACCACTGAGCCATACCGGCTGGGCAAATATTTACTTTCTTTAACATACCCTTTAAAATATACATCTCCCAGTACTTGCAAAGGCTGGCTGATGACTGGGAAAACCCAGTTTGTTTGCACGTATTTCATCAACCTGATAATAAGCAAGGTATGTGACCCAGCTGGGCTCAGAGACACCCAGCCCAGGGAGCGTTGTAAAGAGGGTGGGACCTTTCGCCTCATTTGTTCCAAAGTCCCAGCTCCTGGGAAAATATCTAGCTGGAGCTGAACCGGGGTTGAGTAACAAATTATTCCTCTCCAGCAAGCGCTGTCTCCACTGACAACCATTTCATAAGAAAGGTCAGCCTCGTAGTTGAGACAGGAGACTAGTGCTGAATCTCTGAGAAGGACTGAGGTTTCAACCTTGGGGTGCAAGAAGAATTTCAAAACGGTTGTATTTCCTTCTTGTGGGCTGGCGTCTGAAGCCACTCAACAGGGCACACGCAGAGGGATGTGTTTGCTCAGCCAGGCATGAAATACACACACACACACGCCACAACCCTCCGCTCCATCAGCCCCGGCGCTGGCGCTCCGCTAGCAGGCACACAGCTAGAGCTCTGGTGAGGCGGCAGGGCCAGCGGGCTTCTCCCCGCACCGCCGCCCGGCCTCTTCTGCAGGCTTCCTCCCTGTCGTAGGGAACTGGGCGGGGATGGTGGAACAGACTCAACTCCACACATCTCTGTTAGGCAAAGAAACTACCTTGATTTCTATTAGATTACAATGCATCTTTCCAAATGACTTCCTTTTAATGCTAATTAAGTAAAGCACTGGCATGCGTAGATTTCTGCCAAAGCGATCCTTAATGGGCACCAAGGCAGAGCATGTAAGATAATCTTAATAATAATGGCTAAGATTTATTGAGCACTTACTAGGTGCTAGACATTGTGCTAGGCACCTCACTGACATGTTCTCACCTCACCTTTATTATGGTGCTATCCGGGACCCTCTGTCTCACTTTGCTTGGTAGACCTATTGTCATAAATATTTTTAACAGGAATAATGGGGCGGGGGCAGGCCCTGGAGCTTGGAGAAAAGGGAAAGAGAACTGGATGGCAACGTGGAAGGGGAGTTGGATCTTATTTTATGCTGCAGGGTGCCAGGCAGTTGGATTCTGCATGGTGGGCTGATGGGGTCTCTCTTTCCCCTGTCTCTGAGAGCCTCCTCCACCCCCCAAATGAAATAGAGACATGGAGAAACGCAGTTAGGAAAGCTGGGTACCTGAATTTCCGGGACGATGGGGCCTTTCTCTGCACAGGAGCTGGCGAAGGAGGTCAGCGGAGATGGAGATACAATAGGGTTGGGGCGGGCAAAGTTGCTCAGGTCGCAGCTGGGAATCTCGTTCTCTTCGTGTCGCATGACGATGGTTTCCATGACGAAGAAGCGATCCCAGGGCAGCCAGAGGGTGTGCTCCTGGGTGATGAAAGGTGCCCGCTCAAACCGCAGGATGATGGAGATGCCACCATTTGTGACCAAGTCAAAGCTGTTTGGGAGGGGAGGGTGGAGAAAAAGAGAAGAAAAGAGAGCAGGAAAAATAGGAAACAGGAGATGATGAAGAGGAAAAGGAAAAAGAGCAGAAGGAGGAGAAAGATGGAGAAAGGAGAAAAAAATTACACCAAAGGGTCTGAGTACTTGTTGAGGAGACTTAAAAAAAAAACTAAAAAGCTTCACTGCAGCCACAAACAGAAACAGATATTCCAACAGAAACAGATCTTCCAGAAAGCACTGTTTTTTTTTTTAAATAAACTAGAAAATTTGTCAAAACCAAATGAAAAACCACTGCAATGGAGAGCGATTTGCCAAGACACAGGACAGCTGACGAGCCTCTGCTATGGTGCTCCTGGTACTCAGCGCCCGTTGGAGCTGAACCCTGGTGAAAAGTCAGCATTAGGAACCATAAGCCTCGTTCTGCCTCTGTCATGAACTACTGTGTGATCTTGGGCAGGTCACTTAGCCTCTCTGATCCTCAATTCTCACCCATGAAATGTAAAGGTTCAAATGGACTCTCCTTAAGTCACTACGATTCTATGACTCTACATCAACTTCAGCTCTGATTATGATAGATTACTCAACACAGGACTTTGGGATTAAAAAATAGCAAAGCAATTTAGAGATGGCACAATTAGCCCTGGCCGGTTTGGCTCAGCGGTTAGAGCGTTGGCCTGCGGTCCTGAGATGGCACAATTAGAACCACAGTCTACTCGAAGTGAAAGGGGAACCAGCAGACTGAGTCCTGGCCCCCCAGTAGAGATGAGATCTCCGTGACAGCGTCCTCTGAGTGCCTTCGTTCATTTCCCAATCTGATGCTCTGTTTCTTCTACACACTCACCTTCAAGGGGCCATTTGGTTTCTACTTGCACACTTCCAGTGATAAGGAGCCTGCTATATTCATAGCAGGACTATCTGATCTTAAGTTAATTCTGATTAAGATTATTTTTTTTTTTATCTTTACCCGAGGACATTTTTCCATTTTTTGTTCAGGTAGAGTGGGAGGGAGAGAGAGGAACAGAGAGAGAGAGAGAAACATCGATGTGAAAGGAACACATCGAGTGGCTGCCACCCTCACGACCAACCAGGGCCGGGGACAAACTGCAACCGAGGTATGTGCCCTTAGCGGGAACCGAACCCGGGTCTCTCAGGACCGCAGGCGGACGCTCTAACCGCTGAACCAAACCGGCCAGGGCTGATTAAGATTTTTTAAAACTGAGCCTGGATCCCTCTCCTTATAACTCTTTAGCTCCTGGTCCTTGTTCCAACTGCTGAAGTGACTTCAAACTAGTCTGTTCCTTCTGCCTTTGACCGTCCTTCAGGGCTTGGACAGTGATTCTGTCTACTTGCCACCTCCTGGCTGTGATGTCTCTTTGGACAGAGTCCCTTTTCCTATTATGTTGAGGATGCGTTTCCAAGGCCTGTCCTCGTCTGGCTCCCTGCCCCGGGCCGCTGCGCCTGTGTACGCCTCCTCGCAGCCCGCATCCCGCTGCCCTGGAACCCCGTTCACTCTCTGCCCAGGGACACTGCCCCTTGTCTTTCTGGAACATCACTCGGTGCTGGACGAACGAACGCACGAGTGATACCGTCAACTGAACCTACACCCCGCTAAGTGCCCCAAGTTCCTCCTACTTTGGCTGTTAGCGTACGTCACCCTGACGCTGACCTGTGCAGTGGGTTTGAGAGACCCCAACGCAGGACCTCTCCTTTACCCCGGGTATTATACCTTGTGGTATAATACCTTGCGGCTCCCTGCTCCAGCTTGCTCCTCCCTCCTCTAGAAGAAGGGAAGGATTTTGCCCGGCACTGTCTGTCCTAGCACTGTTCCGGTCCCCACACTCCACAGCCCGACTCTTCTGTCCTAGCAGAAGTCGCCGCCTCTCACTCAGCTCATTTTAGGCCCACACCTGGGTAAAGAAAGTCGGGCCCCACGCTGCTCTGATAAGTCACGAAAGAGAAACAGCAGAGAAGGCGCTTGTTTTGAGCCAAGGCGGCAGGTCATGGCTCTCCAGGAGAATGTCTATAGTTGGGGAACACCCAGGAGACCGAAAAGCATCTGTGCTTTGACAGAACATTTTTTAACCATCAAACAGCATTTTGGCCCAACTTACAAGCTCCCTTCAGGAGAGGATGACCTTGGGGAGGGAGTGAAGACAAGCATGAAAGGACACACGCTCGTGGCTGTGAGCAAGCTGGGGCAGCTGGCCTGGGCAAGGCTCGGGGTAACTAGCTCTTGCCAAAGGCCAGGCCTGGTCATCTGGAGGGAAACCTTGTGGACACGGATTTGAACCTGACCCCAAAGGGAAGGCATGGTTCTCAGATGAAGCCCAAGCAGCTTCGGGCCAGTCCAAGCCACGTACTTACTCCACAGGTGAGTTATGTCACCTGTCTGAGCCTCAATCTCTTCATGTAAAATGAAGTTAATGATCGTAATCACTTGGCAGAGTTTTTAATCAGACAGACGGGATAATGGATGGGGAACGCTTGGGCCCACTCCCTGGGCAGCATGCTCGGTATAATCCCATTTTTCAATTCAATGAGCTTGAACAGCTTCTCTTGTCTGCTACTCTTTTGAAATTTTTCTTCATGACTTCTATTTTTCATCTTTAATGATCTTTTTGGCCAACTTTCTGGTACTGCTTCCTGTTTATGAATTCTTGTTAAAACTGTAGGTTTGGCATTTCAGTGTGGGGTGTGCGTATGAATGTATGAGTGTATGAGCGTGTGTGTATGCATGTATGTGTGTGAGTGTGTGTTTGTGTGTATGAGTATATGTGCATGTATGTATGAGTGTGTGTGTATGCGTGTGCGTGCATGAGTATGAGTGTGTGTGTATGCATGTATGTGTGTGTGAGTGTGTGTATGAGTATATGAGCATGTATGTATGAATTGTGTGTCTGTGTGTATGAGTGTATGTATGTTTGTGTGTATATGTGTGAGGGGGGCTGGACGAGAGACTACCTGGGGTGTGAAGGTTACAGAGATGAGTAGGCATGATCCCTGGATTGCCTATATAGGCTGTCATCTCCCACTATATCTCTAGCTTTTCCATTTCTCCCAGGGTCTGAGAGGGAAGAAAGAAAGTGAGGCAGGGAAGAGGGGGAGGAAAACGAGCAGATGCTCCTCATTCACATAGAACAGACAAGGATCTTCAGACACTCAGAGAATAGGCAGTGACTTTCCCATGCATTATGTAGTGTCTAAGTTGGGAAGAAAACTTAAGCCCCATAATGCACTGCTAAGAACTGTTCTGAAACTCAAGCTATCAGTTGTGGCCACTCAGGCTCCTAACATGTAATTGGGCAGGCAGACGCGGGAACTATGACTGAGGCTTACCTCCTGGGACCCCACACTCTCAAGGGGCAGTAGAGATTGCAGGAGCAGCACAAATGGCAGGGACCAAAGCCTGGGGGCACTAGAATGCACTTTCCCTAAGGGCCACCAAACTTGTGCGACTCTAGTGTTTTAGGGACCCAACCTAACCAAGCATAGCAGGGCGAAGGACGGACGATTTGCCATCTCACGTGAATGATGGTCAAATTTCATGGTTAAAAAGAAGAAGCAGTCCCTGTGGCTCTTTTCTGACGACTGTTTCTTAGCAGGTAATGATGTAGTCAGAATAACTGTTGCCTAGGATGCTCACACCTGCTGTTTCCATAGCGCGGGCAGTCCGAGCTGGAAGGTAGTTCAGACAGAGCACGCGGAGGGAGATTCCTCCATGCCGCAGTGGAAGTCTGCACTGGCGTCCTTGCTGGGATGGGACGTGTGCAGGGCAGGGAGCCGTGGCCTGGCCTGGCCTGGGCAGATGACCCCCGGTGACTGGCCGCCAACCTCTTCCAGCTGGGCCCCTTCCCATTCACAGGGAGTGAGAGGAGGGGAGAGGGCTCCCGTGTCAAGCTTGCCAACCCCGTTAAGAGGCACACATGTCTACAAACAGATGAGCCTCTACTTCATTATCACCTCGGCCGGGACATGTTCACATCTGATATTGGATTAAAGAGGTGCTAAAATCAATCAGGCTGGCGCATAATTTCCAACACAGAGTGAAAATCAACCTTATGGGCCCACACTTAGCCAGATGGACTGCCAGTACCTGATTTTATTAAAAATAGAGGACTTGTCACCACTGACAGCCTAAATATTCCACTTCCCTCCTTCCCCTCCCGTTCTCCAAAACGTTCTCATTGTTTGTACTGTAATCACTACATTCTCGTCATTTAATAGCTTGTAAGTTTAATAAACAGCTAATACTTATTGCATACTTACCATATGCCAGACCCTGGAAATACAATGAGCCAGAGTGTGGCAGGGAGCTAAGATTTATCAGGCACCTACTATGTTTAAGGTGCTTCTCCATCCATCATAGAATCTAATCCTTACAACCAATTTGTGAGCTAAATAGTGTTAGGACCATGTAACAGAGAAAGAAGTTGAAGCCCAGAGAGGTGAGGAGATTTGTCCAAAAACACACAGCTATCCAATGGGAGTGCTGGAGCGATTAAAATAACTACTCCATCCTGCCGATGTTTCTCGGAGGGACCCAAGGTCCCAGTTCTGACCCAGGCGGTTGCAGAGAGAAAACACAGTAGGGATGTTAAGAGTTCTGGGACTTTCTGGTCTGTACCAGTGGTCTATGTGGGAGTATTTTATATCCTGAGTGATGAGGCAGAAGAATACATCTAAGGTACCCTAGGTTTACTGTGGGAACCAAAAGAGAAGAAATTGCTTAGTTTACAGCTAAAGAACTCAGGCCAGAGTGAGACACAAGGACACACAGGTAGTGAGCTTCAGAACAGGGCATCTGAATTCACGTCCTCTGAACCTAGTCCCGCCATCATTCCAGCAGCAGTTATGTGGCAAGACCACGACAGTAGGGCCTTCGCTGACCCTGGTCCACAAAAGATCTCCTACCTGCCATCTTGCCTGCTGATTGTGTATCCGAAGAGAGGGTTATTGACGAAACTGATGTTCACACCAACCAGTGGGGTCCCATCTGATGTCATCACTTGACCACGAATAACACATGCATGCCTGTGGGTAGAGAAGAGTAAATGACATGATCTACTTTTCATGCTCAGAACCCTGGCTGGCAGGGTACCCCAGGAGGTCAGAAGACAGAAGGTGGGTGGGAGCAGGGAAGAAGGGGTCCATGGCGGAAAAATGGAGGACATCTGTAATATATATATATATATTTTTTATTCTCACCTGAGGACACTTTTGCATTCATCTTCAGATAGAGCAAGAGGGAGAGAGGGGGAAGAGAGAGACAGAGAGCAACATTGATGTGAGAGAGACACATCGACTGGCTGCCACCAATATGACCCCAACTGGGCCCAGGGACAAACTGCAACTGAGGTACGTGCCCTTAGTGGGAACTGAACCCGGGTCTCTCTGGACCGCGGGCCGATGCTCTAACCGCTGAGCCAAACCGGCCAGGGCAACATCTGTAATACTTTTAACAATAAAGATTAAAAAAAAGAAAGAAGGCAGGTCACTTAGGCAGTCTTGGTACTCTGGGGTCATAGTGTTGACTCATGATGAACAATAACCTTCTTTTTTTCCCCCCCCCACACTGCCTCAATTTAAGGTATCAAAGTGTCCTCTAAAGTATATTATTAGGCCCTGGCTGGGTGGCTCGGTTGGTTGGAGTGTCATCCTGATGCGCCAAGGTTGTGGGTTCAATCCTGGGTCAGGGCACATGCAGGACGCATCCGATGGGTACATGAATAAGTGGAACAAATTGATGTTTTCCTCCTCCTTCTTCCCCCCTCTCTCTCAACTCAATAAATAAACAAATTTAAAAAATGAATATTTACTGGGAGATGTTTCCAGATATCTCACTCACAGGTTACTTCCTACGGATGCCCCCTTGTGAGGGCTCTGAGGGGGCTGTACAGCCGTCCCTCGTTTAGCGCGGTTAATCCGTTCCAGACTCGAGCGGTTGCACCTGGCGTTGAAGGATTCCTGGGGTGCTCGAGTACATAGCCTACAGTCTACACGTACAGTAACTTTAATTGTAATTGTAATACAGGAGTGTATAATTGACTCAGACAACCGAGCACGCGCTGTATTATTTTCACTGTCTTGATCAACTTTGTAATGGACATATTTGAAAAAACTGCTATGGAGTGAACGTCAAAGCATGAAGTGGCGAGGGACGACTGAACAGTGTAGTCGTGTGTGACTTTGCTGTCCCGTGACTTGGGTTCAAACTTCAGCTCTATGACTTTCTAGCTCCCTAAGCCTGCACAGTGTGCGACAGCCCTTTTGCACCCTGGTACAGAGCGATCTCCACAAGGGGCAGTGGTTACCACTGCCACGCCCAGTCTCACTGGACGTGGACACACAAGCAAGTGAGCAGAATAGAGGGCGCTTCTTCCCATCTGGCGTTGCAAACAGGCAGACGCTGGCATCATCCCCCTGGAGCGGGTTCTGAAACTGTCACCTCTCCCAATGGCCCCCGTCCCTCTTTCCCTCTACATTCCGGATAACTAACCATCTGCCTTCCCCGCACTCACCAGGCAAATTTGTTTAAAGCCTCTGTGTTGGTGCAGTGTTCTCCCCTCTGCCTCAAATGTCATCCCTGCACCCCTCTCCCAATGCGCTCGGCCTGTAACACCCAGCTTCGAGAGATGCCTCCTCCCTGAAGCCCTTCTCGATGGCCCTGATTAGAACTAGCCACTCTCTTCTGCACCTCGATACCCTACCTCACTGTCCAGGTTTCTCCTGTCCACGAGGTCACGACCCTTTGAGGGCAGGGTCAAGGTCTATTTCTTTCTCTCTGTGGTGCCTGGAAATGCCTAACAAGTTCTAGGTCATTGTTTAAAAAAAAAAAAAAATAGTGGCTTAAGTAAATAAGTTGGACAATTAGAGATGATCTAGAATGATGGTTTTTTTGCCCCCTACTATTTCAGAAACAGTCTTTTTAGCAGGTGACATTTTATAAGGACCCCAAAGTGGAAAACAAATACAAATAAGATCTGCTAGGTGGGGGCCCCCTTTTCTCTTGGGGTCATTCTGAAGGAATTCTGTGGAGTCTCGGTCCCTATAAGCCAGAGAAAAGCCAGCTGGAAAGTCACTGAATGAGTGGAATTAGAGGAAACGGGTCCACGGAGGTTGTTATCTGCCCCAAGCCACACAGGGCGGTGGTGGCAGAGCCGGGCCCTGAACCCAGGCCTCATAACACTGGGCCCGACTCTAGACCAGTCTGTTTACTACTGACGACGGTGGCCACGAAGGTGCGCTCTGTGCTCAATGCCCTCGGGATCCGGGCCGCGGGGAGGCAGCCCTCCCTGACAGGACAGATCCCGGGCAAAGACGCAGGCGGTGGTGATTGTGCCCACAACTTTCTCCCTTCACCTCGGTCCAGAGGCTTTTTTTCTGGCCCAGGGAAGAGCTACTGATGAGATCTGTGGGTATTCATAAAAAATCTCAAGCTCAGCCTCTGCTTTATTAGGTGCTTACATCTCTACCATCTTAGAGTGATAAACTTTTCTCTGTTTGATGAGAAAAGCAATTAACACCAGGCTTGTAAGCAGCTGGTCTCACTAGAGTCAGCTTGTCCTTTCTGAAGGCAAGAACGACTACCCACAATGCTTCACGCTCCCCACCCCACCCCACCGCACCCCACCCCACCCCACCGCACCTCACGACACACAATCTGGTTAATGCTAATTCAGTCAGTGGTTTCCTTCCGAGGCCCTTGGTCTAAATGCAATTACATGGCAAACAAGTTAAGCGGGTGAGGCTCAGCAAAGACGCTCAGTCCTGCTCTGAAGGTCTCCCGATATATTTACGCAAAATTATCTCCCTGCTAATGGGAAAGATTTATTCCATCAATTGTATTCAGCTGGTACTGAGAGATGCTTTCCTTAATGGAGGAAAATTGGATTTCTTACTGCTGGAACTCCGTCCTTCTGGAGGATTACTAACAGATCGCATCCCCCGCCGCTGGCCCCCATCCAGCCTTCTGCTGCCACGTGTCTTCAGATGCCGCCTGGACAATAACCAGCCCTCCGGGAACGGTTTCCTTTTGGGGGTTGCCCTGACTGCTGCCCCTCTCACACATGTGGGCCAGCCTCCTCTGATTTATCTTTCTTTGGGGATTCCCGGGTAATTGGGAAACTTTAAATCGGCACCATTTGGCCATCATGTGGCCTCCACCTCAGCAAGCCCGAGCAGATGTAATGTTAGCCCGGGCTCCTGTGGATTGCTCTGGATTCTGGATAAGATTAAGTTGACTCCCTGCGCCCCTGGAGGCCACAGAGGCCTCTTGCCAAAACAGGCATTTGGCTCGGGAATTCCTGGAGAAAAACACTTCCATCCTCTCTGTTTGACCGTGATTTTCAGTTGTCAAGAAAACCCAGTTTAACATAAAGACCTTCCCTAGAACAAAGGAGATGGGGAAGTCTGCTCTGTGGAGGGCTCTGAAATGTGTCTCCTGCCGCATGTTTTTGTCCAGGGAGGTTTGAAAAGATGTGGATTTTGGGCTTCCAAAGGCTTTCCTTTTCACCCATTTATTTAATGGATACCACTACTGGTGTACTGCTAAACACTGAACAACTGACTTTCAAAAGAAAAACTGCTTTAATTTGTAGCATCTGCCTATTTCTGTGGTGTAAATACTTCCATCATGATGGAGTTCAGCTACCGCTGATATGTCAGTGGACCCAGGGCTGAGGAGATGCACAGTATTTCCACCACGGACGTATAATAGACCTAAATAAACTCCGGCACAAAGATCACAGTAAAATCACGAGGAAGCGATGAGTTTTGATTATTTATCACCTCAGTTTTTAATATAATTTATTTAATTTCAATTTTGATAATAGTTCTGTTTTAAAAACTAGCTTGCAGCCCTGGCCAGTGTGGCTCAGTTGGTTGGGCATCGTCCTGTGCGCCAAAAGGTTGCCAGTTGGATTCCCGGTCAGGGCACACGCCTGGGTTGTGGACTTCATCCCCAGTAGGGGGCGTGCAGAAGGCAGCTGATGGATGTTTCACTTTCACATTGATGTTTCTCTCTCCCTCTCCCTTCCCCTCTCTCCAAAAAAAAAAAAAAAAAAATCAATTAAAATTGTTAAAAAACAAACAAAACTAGCTTACACAATTCCTGGACATCTAGTAGTCAGTTCTTATGAGCTGATGGGAGCCGGCTTCTGACGCCACTGCAACACTGACCCCCCGAGAAAGGTCAATGTGGCTAAGAGTTGTTTCGTTGGCTGTGAGATTCCACAGTGGAAGACCACTCTGGTGAGAAATCACTAACACAGGGTGCAAATCACGGTCACCAACTTGGCTTCCCGGCTGGCTCATATGATCCTCTTATTACCTGTCCTATCTTTGGTGTGTTTTGCTTTCCCTTGGTCACTGTTTGGGCATAACGGAGTTTTGGGGTGTTATTTTTACTCATCCTCAGTCCCCTCTGAGCCGTCATCACCTCAGTGAGGCTGTTACCAAAGTTTCCTGGCACAGTGAATTGTGCCCCCTCAAAGCCAGTAGGTATCTCTCTCTGATTGTGGTTTTCATAGAATTGTATCATTCACATTTTCATAGCTATTGCACCTTCTTCCATGTGAACTAGAGGAGGGCAGGGACCACGTCTCCAGTGGCCAGGGTGAGCATGGAATATTGCTCCCTTAGACGGTGTTAGGTAAAAATGACCAAGTCCCTGAAACTCCGGGAGAAAAGACTTGCTCAAGGACAGACAGCAAAGAATTCAACTGGCTGAGCTGACATTCAAAGTTCGGACTTCTTCCGTCTAGGTCCTTACTCTTACAACTGTGTAGCATATCTGTCGTCACTAACATTCACTTTAATTCCATTAAACAATGGGGCACCTACTACAAACGAGGCACTGTCCTAGGGGCCGGGGTTACAGAAGTGCGTGCATGCAGTCCCCAGGTGCCCGCGGGAGTTCCCCAAAGCTGAACGCCTGAGCGTAGTTGTCTCTGACACCAGTGAGTCAGCACATGAGCCTGGCATATGTCAGGCAGCTGGGATACAAAACAAGCAATTAGGCTGGGTGAACTCTG